TACTGGGCTGCAAACTGGGGGGATGGACTTGAAATAATGGGAAGAGCCTCAAGTCTGATGAACTTCATAAATGACCTTACACAAAGCTTTCCTGGCTGAGCACCTGCTCCCTAGTGCAAAATGAAAATGTTGGGACAGAGGAGGTGTAAGGTTCTTTCTAGTTTTAATGTTCTGAGATATTTTAGGGGCACCTGGGTGGCTCAGTCAGTTAAGCGCCTGACTCTTGATTTCGGCTCAGGTCGTGATCTCAGGGTCGTGAGATCAAGCCCTGGGTTGGGCTCCCCGTTCAGCCACAGAGCCTGCTTAAGATTCTCTGCCCCTCCCTCGCTGCTCATGCTCTCTCTCTCTTTCTCTCTCAAAAAAAAAAAAAAAAAAAAAAAAAAAAAGAGGTATTTTGAAAGACAAAGGCTCCTTAGACATCTTCCTTTAACATGTAAGGCATGAATGTGACCAGCAGAGGGCAGCAAGTGCCCCCAACCCCTCACCCCCACCCCTGCCCTGCCTTGTTTTTAAAGTAATTTTCTAAAATTTCCACCCGCCCAGGGAGGAGTTGTGGTCCTATAAAGGAAACTGTGTTTGAACCATTTGACAAGAGCCAGTGATGAAAGAGATTCTCCTTTTCTGTTTTTAAATTTTGTTTTGTTTTTACATCTGTAAACTAAAAAGACATTCTTGAGACATTTTCTTGGCTCTGGGACTTTACTCTCTCTTGGTTTGGCTCCTGCCTCACTGGCCACTCCTTCTCTGTCTCTTGCTGGTTCCTGCTCATCTCTCTGACCCTTACATATTACCTGACAGGGCCTGGTCCCTGTTCCTGTATTTACGCTCACGGCCTCCTGACCTCATTCTGTATCCGAATTCACATCCATATCCCAGACTGCTTTCCCTGAGCTCCAGACTCACGTATCCATCTGCCCAAGGGACATCGCCAATTGGAGTTCTAACAGGACAAAGTCCAGTATGTCCAAATCGAAGTCCTGATTTCTGTCTCCTCCCTCAAAGTTGCTTTCCCTCACTTTTCCCGATCTCAGTAAATGACATTTCAAATTTTCTAGTTGCTCACGTCTTTCATTTTTCTGTCCCAACTCACATCCCATATGTCATCAAAATGTATTTGTTCTACGGTAAAATATGAGCAGAATCTAACCACTCTTCATTGCAGTCACCACAGGGTCTCCTGACTAGACTACCAAGAAGGTGGACATGTTCTGGGCTGGATGGAAGTATAAAAGGATGTTAAAATGGGACTTTTGGGGTATTTGCTTTGTAAGATGCCCCAGAGGTCTATAATAATACAATAAGGATCAAGTGAACAAGCTTCTTACATAACCTGACCCTGAGTTGCTTCATACCCCTGCAGGATCCGACTGCTACTGCTGTTCTCACCTCATTTCCCTGACCGTGCTACCTTAGGTACTCAGGTCACAGCTGAAAGGCCCCGTTTATGTGGAGTCTCACGCTTCTCCTCTTGGCAAGCTTGGTCTATGTGCTCATATGTCCCGGATGTGACTGTGGAATTTTGCGGACTGATGGTACAATTTTCACACTTTTTGTTTTTACCAAATCAATAACGATAATAATGAGTTTCCTAGACTCTAAGATATGTCTTCGATGTAGAATGTTAGTATTACAAGTATGGAAATTTTGATTTAAAATCTGCACTAAAATACATTTATTCATTCTAAAAAAGCCACTTTGCTAGTGCCAGTCATAGTTTGAGTCTATGCCTTCTTTTGTAATCCATGCCAGACTCATTACTTCTGAGGATTAATAAATTATTTGGAAGATTATCAAAGAAATACTCCTAGCTTAATGTATGGAATTGATTGGTGACTGATTTATATCCTGGGACATTGTACAGTATGTGAGCTTCTTCCGCAACCACCCCTCCACTCCCCTCCCGCGATGCCGAAGGGAGACATGAAGTCTCCGCTGAGTGGGAGAGTCATCAGGGACCCAAATCTGCCAGATTATTGACTTCAGAGATTAAAAGCCTAGTGGATAGGCAATAGGTGGAGAGGATTTCAAGTAATTTTAAAAAGAGACAATTCGATGGGTTGGCCTGATTCCCTGTCCACTAGGGTTAACCATTCCAGTTTTCCTAAGAATGAGGGTTTCTCAGGGGCTGGGATTTCAGTGCTAAAATCGAGAAAGTCCTGTGAAAACTGGGTCGCGTGGTCCCCTATCTATCTGTGCACTACTCTGCTCTTGTGAGGAGACCAAGGTTCAGGGAAGGGGAAAGAGATAGAAGTGAAGACAATTAGTGTTTCTGTGAGCCATAGAGAGCTTTGAGAAAGGAAGAGAAGTGATCGGAGTGGGCCATTGAGAGGACAGTGGGGAGACAGAAACAAGTGTAATGCTTGGAATTCTTAGAGGCCTAAGTGGTGGGGCATGAGGTATGTGAAGAGTGTTACCAGTCAGGGTTCTCCAGAGAAACAGAACTAGTAAGATATGCATGGAGAGGGAGATTTTGAGAATTGGGAGTGTGGGGACTGGCAAATCCAAAATCTGTAGAGTCGGTTGGCAGGCTGGAAATTCAGGTTAGTGTTGATATTGTAGCCTTGAGGTCGAAATTTGTAAGCTGGCAACTCAGGCCCAGTTTCTATGTTGCCTCTTACGGAAGAATTGCTTCTCCTTTGGGAAACCTCAGTCTTGGTTCTTAAAGCCTTCAACTGACTGGATGAGCGCCCCGCCCCCCCTCCCTTATGGAGGTGTTCTGTACAGATAAATGTTTCTGTGATTTGTCCCACATAACCAACCACCTGGGCCCGCATGCACATAGGCGGGCTAAAGAATGTTATTTGTGAGACTCGTGCTGTGTGAATAACCTTGGGAGCCTCATTGTTTAAAATATATTGGGTGGCCTCCAGGTCTGGCCCTTCTGTTCTGGATGCCCCTGCTCCAGGCGGGGCTGGCCCCTCAGAAGGGAATCTGGGAGGGGAGGCAGACACACATAGCGCAGGCGCCTTGAATATATAGAAACATGATAACGTGGAAATGTAGCTTGCTCCAAACTGCACGTAGGCGAACAAATGTTTAATTTCAAACCCCGTGTTTTCCCCTATAAATATGGCCCTTGTGGGGATGGTCAGCTGGAAGTGTCTCCTAAGGGGAGGACGCTCCGCCCAGGCCTCTCAATCCAGACTCCAGCCTGGCTGTCTCCACGGGGCTTCCCCAGCTGGTGAGGTGGGTTGTTGTAAGTACCCGATTCGATGTCACTTGGCCTTATTCTCATTTTTTGCCTGCTATTCCCTTCGTCTGTGTGTAGATTCCTTTCCTCTTCTGTTTCTATTAGGTTTCTAATAATAATTCTAATAATAATAATAATAATAAAATTTTCTTTCCTTTTCGAAACCGAAACAGGGCTATGGTAAATCTTTTGGGCAGAACGGGTGGGGACTCTGTGTTATGTAAGGGCTACTAATGTAAATGTTAATCACACCCAAAAAATACCTTCGCAGCAACATCTAAACTGGCATTTGACCACACCACTGGGTGCCCTAGCCTACTTGAGTTGACACATAAAATTAACCGTCATCAGGGGCAAACTGAGGGGTGGGGTGATGGGAGAATTGACCCTTTGTGAGGATGAGGTATGGATCCCCAAGTAGGGTCTACTTGATAACAGGGGCTAGCTGGGTCTTAGGAAATGGCTCATGCCACGAAGCGGTGCAGCGGCCATGCGGACCCCCATAGAACACCCAGTGTGCCCCCTGACAGAGGAAGCCTCAGGCACCTGCCCCAGTCAGAGAAAAGATGGCGGAAGTGTCCGTAGCTGGACTTGTGTACCCAAGGCCACAATAACCTCTCCGCTCCTTACTGGGACTGCATGCTCCGTGTCTTAAGGGAATTCCACCCCTGCCCCCTTCCCTCTGCTTAAGAATGAACAGCAGGACGAGGAACGGGAAAAGGAAAGTTTATACGGTACCCAAGCAACCCTGAGCTGACTTCTCAAACCACTGGGTGGAACTGAATTTTCTTGAAGGCACCTAGATTTCATAAATTGGTTAATTTAACACAGAACGGAAATATTGAACCGAAAAGATAGAGTAACTAAAATTCAGGACTCAGACTTCCCCTAGCTCAAATGAGGGTCCCGCATGTCTCCCTGAAGTGAGTAAATTCTGGGCCTGTCTTCCATCTCTCTGGTCCTTCCTTGCACAGCCCGGGAACCCGAGCTCAAGTGTTTGCCACGTCCTTACCCATCTGCAGGAGAAAAATGGCCTTAGAGCTCAACATTTTCTGGTCAGAGGTTTTTATAAAAAGTTGGGCCCAAAATTCTCCACTTTCTTTTTGTGCCTTCCTATCCCTTCCCCCCTCCCTCCCATTGTTTGTTTGCTTCCCAGCATATTTTATTATTTTCCCAGGGTTATTGATATGAAGAACCAAGCTCATCATTTCTGGAAACTGAACCCATTTAAAAACATTTTTGAATTTAAAATAGAACCTCTTCATTAGATCTTGTAGCAGTTTGTCATTTTAGAACTTCTAAGTTGTTCTAAGAGATTCTAAGTTGACCTTTGTGTTTTCTTTTCATGCAACTCTCTTTTGGGGATATTTTTAGCTCTTTAGATTTCCACTGGGTACTTTCACAACCCACCGCTCATGTAATTTGCTTCTTTACTCACTGATTACTTTGCATAGGCCCCTCCAGGCCCAGGCCAGCTGCTCCGGTTTTATAAGAGGGGCCTTTGCTACGTGAGCTGAGCTGCATTGGGCAGGCAGGGACAGCAAGATGGTGTCACCGAGGCAGGTCCTCATATCCTTGTTGCTGTGGGTCTCAGGTGAGAAATTGAAAAGTGCCATAATCTTTTTGGAGTAGTGTCATTTTAGAGTTAAAAAAATTTAAGATATATAATGAGAAATCCTGGCTATTTCCAAAATAGACCCAATTATGTACTGACATGTAGTACCATTAGAAAGCACATTTACAATGACATATTTCGGCGTGTCGGTGATAAAGTGTGTCTGTCTCATCATTATCTATTCTGATTGCAGGTGCCTGTGGGGAGATCACAATGACTCAGTCTCCAGGCTCCGTGGCTGTGTCTCTAGGTCAACGGGTCACCATCAACTGCAGGGCCAGTCAGAGTGTGAGCAGCTACGTAGCCTGGTACCAGCAAAAACCTGGGCAGGTTCCCAGGCTCCTCATCTATAGTGCATCCAACAGGGCCACTGGCATCCCAGACCGGTTCAGCGGCAGTGGGTCTGGGACAGACTTCACCCTCACCATCAGCAGCCTCCAGGCCGAAGATGTGGCGGATTATTACTGCCAGCAGCATTATAGTACTCCTCCCACAGTGCTTCAGCCTCGAACACAAACCTCCTCCCCAGGGCCACGGGTCAGGGAGGCTTTGCTGCCCCACCTGCTTCCTCCCCACTCAGCCCTGAACATGTGCATTCCCGTATCTGCCTGAGAAGTCACGTCTCCTGACTCACTCCTTGGAGGGCTTCTAAGGCCCAGCAGAAAATAAAGGGAGTTGGCTTTTCCTGCATTCCTTTTTGTGGGAGATGAGTGAAGACAAATGCTGGGAAGATGTCTTAGGGATGCCGTCAGGAGTCTTTGTGCCCCAGGAACCTGCACGTTTCCCAGGGACCGACGGCAGGAGTGAGCCAGGAAGGTCTGTCTCTAGCCTCTGACGAAGCTTACTTCTCTTCTCTCTTCTCTCCTCTCCATTTCTCCCAGGCGTGCTCATTCTCACAGAGGCAATTCTCTCATTCTTTTTTTTTTTTTTAAGATTTTATTTATCTGTTTATGGGGGGGGGGACCGAGGGAGATGGAGAGAATCTCAAGCAGACACCCCGCTGAGTGCAGAGCTGACACCCACTCCATCTCACGACCCCGAGATCAGCAACTGTGCTGAAACCAAGAGGCGATGCTCAACCAACGGAGCCACCCAGGCGCTCTGATTCTCTCAATCCTTAACCCTGTCACTTTAGGAACAAGGGATACTGTTCTTCAGCAACCTTTCTCACCATCTGTCACCTTTTTTCTTTAAAGTCATCCCTTGGGCATTCAGGTCTAATCTTGTGACCGAAGGAAATCAAGGCTCTAAGTGTGCCATAACTTGAGTCCCTTGGAAAACATTTCATTAACATGTCCAATTCCATGTGAAAAGAGAACAATTTCAAGCATCTTCGTATTACTTCTTCACCTCCTTCTGAAATACATGGGTTGATGAATTCGCTTTGGGAAAGACCGCAGCAAACCTGGTCACTCTTACCTACAAAACAGCTTCTCAAATAATTAGAAATATATTTCAAGGATCGATATTAAGGGATTCATATCATTCATTCAAGGTATGTTTTCTGAGCCCTTCCTCTGTGTCAAGAGCAAAGACATCGGCTTTCGCCCCAGCTGGGAGAGCCAGACACTAAACAACAGCATCAGTAAATATTTACTATGTTATGCTGGAGGAGCTACAAAGGAAAATAAAGGAAGGAAGGGAATAAAAATCTTGCTGGGAATTCAGCCGAATAGGGATCAAACCATTCTGAACACCTACAAACTCAACAGGAGATCGAAGAGGAGAGTAGCAACAACTCTCTGAACAGAGAAGCGACCACTTACTGGAAGGTAGGACGTGCGGAGAAGTGAATCCGAGGCGATATTCGGGAGGAGAGACGGCGGGGGAGGGGCCTCCGCCGGCCGCTTCTGGCAAGTGATAGAGCCGCAGAGCACAAAATCGGACCTTTTAGACGTCGGCTGGGCTGAGGGACGTCGCTGCAGTGGCTAAGCAGGGGGTGGAATCCTCCCGGGACAGTGTGGTCTCAGGACTCTTGGGGTCACAGAAAGACCGGGGGTACCTGAGTGCGCCAGAGCTCCCAGGTATCGGAGCGGGGAAGCCGGCTGCAGAGACGGAGCCGAGGCGCGGGCTCTCAGCTCGGGGTGGCCTTAAACTGTGATCCGCGGCCCAGTCAGGCCACTGCTCCTCCAGCAGGGACCCAACAAGCGGCAGAGCGGGGGAGACTCCCCTTCCTTCCCGGGGAGGAGCGGTGCGGGAGCGCACCGCAGGGATCTGCTGGGTTTGGAGACTCCACACGGGGTCGGGTGCCAGAGATAGCAACGCTCGGTCACAGTCCGGGTGAGCACGGAGTGCAGCCGGAGACCGGGGACACGGGAGTGACTGCTTTTCTCTGGGGACGCACTGAGGAGCGGGGCCCCGAGTCCTCAGCTCCTCCGGGTGGAGATTGGGAGGCCACCATTTTCGCCCTGGTCCTCCAAAGCTGTACCGAGAGCTTGCAGGGAACAAAAGCTCCTGAGAGCAAACCCGAGCACCTTGCTTAGCCCGGACTGACAAGGGCGGGGCAATTCAGCCTCCGGCAAAGACATTTGGAAACCACGGCAACAGGCCCCCTCCCCCAGAAGATCAGCACGAACAGCCAGCAAGCCAAGACCAAGTTTACCGATCAAGAACGGGAGAACTCCAGCGCTAGGGGAATACTGCACATAGAATTCATGGCTTTTTTTTTTTACCATGATTCATTAGTTCATCAAAGTTAATTTTTGTTGACTGTTTTTTTTATTTTATTTTTCTTTTTCCCTTTTTCAACCAACATCTTATCAATCCCTTTTTTAAAAAAAAAAACATTTTTTATTTTTCATTTTTAGAGTCATATTTTATCCCTTCATAGTAGTTACCCTTATTTTTGGCATATATATATAAGTTGTTCTCTCTTTAAAATTTTGAGAGATACAGTTTCTTCTAACAGATCAAAATATACCCTAAATCACTAGTGTATGGCTTTGTTCTAGTCTCCTGCCTGATCACATTCTCTCCCTTTTTTCTTTTTTTTCTTAAATCTTCTTTCTTTTTTCAAATAACTTCTTATCTTATCAAGTCCTTTTATAAAATCTTTTCTAATTTTCATCTTTACAGTCATCTTCCATCCCTTCATTGTATCAACCCTTATTTTGTACATATACGTCTTTCTTCCTTTAAAATTTTAGGAGGCACTTTTTTCTAACAGACCAAAATACGCCCAAAATCTAGCGTGTGGCACTGATCTATGCACTAGCCTGGTCATATTTGATCATATTCTGCTTTTTTTGTATTGTTCTGTTTTTGTTTTTATCTTTTTTTTTTTCTCTTTCTTTTTTCTTTCCTTCCCTTTCTTTTCCCCTGGTTTCAGGTCTTTTCTGATTTGTATGGAGTATATTTGCTGGGGACGTTGTAAACCTGTTAACATTTTGTTCTCTCATTCATCTATTCTCCTCTGGACAAAATGACAAGACGAAAAAAATCACCTCAGCAAAAAGAACAAGAGGTAGTACCGTCAGCCAGGGACCTACTCAATACGGACATTAGTACGATGTCAGACCTAGAGTTCAGAATCATGACTTTAAAGATACTAGCTGGGCTTGAAAAAAGCATGGAAGTTATTAGAGAAACCCTTTCAGGGGAAATAAAAGAACTAAAATCTAACCAAGTTGAAATCAAAAAGGCTATTGATGAGGTGCAATCAAAAATGGGGGCACTAAATGCTAGGATAAATGAGGCAGAAGAGAGAATCAGTGATATAGAAGACCAAATGATGGAAAATAAAGAGGCTGAGAAAAAGAGAGAGAAACAACTACTGGATCATGAGGGCAGAATTCGAGAGATAAGCGATACGATAAGATGAAACAACATTAGAATAATTGGGATCCCAGAAGAAAAAGAGAGAGAGAGAGGGGCAGAAGGTATATTGGAGCAAATAATAGCAGAGAACTTCCCTAATGTGAGGAAAGAAACAGGCATCAAAATCCAGGGGGAACAGAGAACCCCTCTCAAACTCAATAATAATAGGTCAACACCCCGACATCTAATAGTAAAACTTACGAGTCTCAGAGACAAAGGGAAAATCCTGAAAGCAGCTCGGGAGAAGACATATGTAACCTACGATGGTAGAAACATTAGATTGGCAACAGACCTATCCACAGAGACCTGGCAGGCCAGAAAGGACTGGCAAGATATCTTCAGAGCACTAAACGAGAAAAATATGCATCCAAGAATACTATATCCAGCTAGGCTGTCATTGAAAATAGAAGGAGAGATAAAAAGCTTCCAGAACAAACCAAAACTAAAGGAATTTGCAAACACGAAACCAGCCCTCCAAGAAATATTGAAAGGGGTCCTCTAAGCAAAGAGAGAGCCTAAAAGCAGCAAAGATCAGAAAGGAACACAGACAACATAGAGTTAACAGTCACCTTACAGGCAATACAATGGCACTAAATTCATACCTTTCAATAGTTACCCTGAATGTAAATGGGCTCAATGCCCCAGTCAAAAGACACAGGCTATCAGATTGGATTAAAAAACAAGACCCATCAATATGCTGTCTGCAAGAGACTCATTTTAGACCCAAAGACACCCCCACATTGAAAGTGAGGGGGTGGAAAACCATTTACCATGCTAATGGACACCAAAAGAAAGCTGGGGTGGCAATCCTTATATCAGACAAACTAGATTTTAAAACAAAGACTGTAATAAGAGATGAGGAAGGACACTATATCCTACTAAAAGGGTCTATCCAACAAGAAGATCTAACAATTGTAATTATCTATGCCCCTAACGTGGGAGCAGCCAATTATATAAGGCAATTAATAACAAAAGCAAAGAAACACATTGACAAGAATACAATAATAGTGGGGGACTTTAACATCCCCCTGACTGAAATGGACAGATCATCGAAGCAAAGGATCAACAAGGAAATAAAGACTTTAAATGACACACTGGACCAAATGGACTTCACAGACATATTCAGAACATTCCATCCCAAAGCAACGGAATACACATTCTTCTCTAGTGCCCATGGAACATTCTCCAGAATCGATCACATCCTAGGTCACAAATCAGGTCTCAACCGGTACCAAAAGATTGGGATCATTCCCTGCATATTTTCAGACCACAATGCTTTGAAACTAGAACTCAATCACAAGAGGAAAGTCGGAAAGAACTCAAATAAATGGAGGCTAAAGACCATCCTGCTAAAGAATGAATGGGTCAACCGGGAAATTAAAGAAGAATTAAAAAAATTCATGGAAACCAATGAAAATGAAAACACAACTGTTCAAAATCTTTGGGATACAGCAAAGGCAGTCCTGAGAGGAAAGTATATAGCAATACAAGCCTTTCTCAAGAAGCAAGAAAGGTCTCCAATACACAACCTAACCCTACACCTAAAGGAGCTGGAGAAAGAACAGCAAATAAAGCCTAAACCCAGCAGGAGAAGAGAAATCATAAAGATCAGAGCAGAAATCAATGAACTAGAAACCAAAAGAACAGTAGAACAGATCAACGAAACTAGGAGATGGTTCTTTGAAAGAATTCACAAGATTGATAAACCCCTGGTCAGACTGATCAAAAAGAAAAGAGAAAGGACCCAAATCAACAAAATCATGAATGAAAGAGGCGAGATCACAACCCACACCGAAGTAATACAAACAATTATAAGAACATATTATGAGCAACTCTATGTCAGCAAATTAGATAACCTGGAAGAAATGGGTGCATTCCTAGAGATGTATCAACTACCAAAATTGAACCAGGAAGAAATAGAAAAACCTGAGAAATAGAAAAAATAGAAGCAGTCATCAAAAATCTCCCAAGAACAAAAGCCCAGGGCCAGATGGCTTCCCAGGGGAATTCTATCAGACATTTATAGAAGAATTAATACCTATTCTCCTGAAACTGTTCCAAAAACTAGAAATGGAAGGAAAACTTCCAAACTCATTTTATGAGGCCAGCATTACCTTGATCCCAAAACCAGACAAAGACCACATCAAAAAGGAGAATTACAGACCAATATCCTTGATGAACATGGATGCAAAAATTCTCACCAAAATACTAGCCAGTAGCATCCAACAGTACATTAAAAGGATTATTCACCACGACCAAGTGGGATTTATCCCTGGGCTGCAAGGCTGGTTCAACATCCGCAAATCAATCAACGTGATACAATACATTAATAAAAGAAAGAACAAGAATCATATGATCCTCTCAATAGATGCAGAAAAAGCATTTGACAAAGTACAGCATCCTTTCTTGATCAAAACTCTTCAGAGTTTAGGATTAGAGGGTGCCTACCTCAATATCATAAAAGCCATCTATGAAAAACCTACCTCCAATATCATTCTCAATGGGGAGAGGCTGAGAGCTTTTCCCCTAAGGTCAGGAACGCGGCAGGGATGTCCACTCTCACCACTGCTATTCAACATAGTATTAGAAGTCCTAGCCACAGCAATCAGACAACAAAAAGAAATCAAAGGCATCCAAATCGGCAAAGAGGAAGTCAAACTCTCACTCTTTGCAGATGATATGATACTGTACGTGGAAAACCCAAAAGACTCCACCCCAAAACTGCTAGAACTCATACAGGAATTCAGTAAAGTAGCAGGATATAAAATCAATGCACAGAAATCAGTGGCATTCCTATACACCAACAACAAGACAGAAGAGAGACAAACAAGGAGTCGATCCCATTTACAATTGCACCCAAAACCATTAGATACCTAGGAATAAATTTAACCAAAGAGGCAAAGGATCTGTACTCAGAAAACTATAAAATACTCATGAAAGAAACTGAAGAAGACACCAAGAAATGGAAAAACGTTCCATGCTCATGGATTGGGAGAACCAATATTGTGAAGATGTCAATGCTACCTAGGGCAATCTACACATTCAATGCAATCCCCATCAAAATACCATCCACTTTTTTCAAAGAAATGGAACAAATAATCCTAAAATTTGTATGGAACCAGAAGAGACCCCGAATAGCCAGAGGAATCTTGAAAAAGAAAAGCAAAACTGGCGGCATCACAATTCCGGACTTCCAGCTCTATTACAAAGCTGCCATCATCAAGACAGTATGGTACTGGCAAAAAAACAGACACATAGATCAATGGAACAGAATAGAGAGTCCAGAAATTGACCCTCAACTCTATGGTCAACTTATCTTTGACAAAGCAGGAAAGAATGTCCAATGGAAAAAAGACAGTCTCTTCAACAATGGTGTTGGGAAAATTGGACAGCCACATGCAGAAGAATGAAACTGGACCATTGCCTTACACCACACACAAAATTAGACTCCAAATGGTTGAAAGACCTAAACGTGAGACAGGAGTCCATCAAAATCCTAAAGGAGAACACAGGTAGCAACCTCTTCG